AATGTTATAGCTCATAGAAATCAAAATAAGTCTGATGAGGCACTTAAGAAAACAAGGAGTAGTGAGGTTAAGTGTTTCAAATGTTTGGGAAGAGGTCACATAGCTTCTCAATGTCCCACTAAGAAGACTATGTTACTTAAGGAGGATGAAGAAGTAATTAGTGAATCTTCTTCAGATTCTTCATCTAGTGATGAAAATGAGCATGAAGATGAAAGAGAGTTAGAAGGAGATCTGTTCATGATTAGAAGGATGTTGGGTAGTCAATCAGTTGAATTGGATGATTGTCAAAGAGAAAATATTTTTCATGCAAGGTGTCTCATTCAAGGGAAGTTGTGCTCTTTGATCATTGATGGTGGGAGTTGCACTAATGTGGCTAGTGCACGGATGGTTTCAAAAATGAATTTGGAGACTAAGCCACACCCGCGACCTTATAAACTTCAATGGCTTAGTGAAGATGGTGAGATGACTATGAATAGGCAAGTTGAAGTGGGTTTTTCCATAGGGAAATATGAAGATTCTGTTTTGTGTGATGTGGTGCCTATGGAGGCTTGTCATTTACTTCTTGGGAGACCATGGCAGTATGATAGGAGAGTTATGCATGATGGTTTCACTAATAAGTTCTCTTTTATGCATAAATACCGCAAAACTACTCTTGCACCTTTGGTTCCAAGAGAAGTTAATGAGGATCAACTGAAAATGAGAAAGAAAAGAAAAGAAGAAAGAAAAGAAAAAAGAAAAAGAGAGTGAAAAGAAAAAGGAAAAAGAGGAAGAAAAAGAGAAAGAGAGAAAAAAATCAAATCTGTTTATAAAAGAAAAAGAAGTCAAAAGAGCTATGCAATTGAGAAAGCCAATACTTTTACTTTTGAGTAAAGAAAGTAAATCAAACAGTCCATGTTTTACTAACTCTCTTCCAAAAGAGGTTTCTTCTTTGTTGCAGGATTTTGAAGATGTTTTTCCCAAAGAAGTGCCTATAGGTCTACCCCCTCTTAGGGGTATTGAGCATCAAATTGACCTTATTCCAGGAGCTTCATTGCCTAATAGACCAGCCTATCGAAGCAATCCCCAAGAAACCAAGGAGATTCAAAAGCAAGTTGAAGACTTAATGCAAAAGGGGTGGGTTAAAGAAAGCTTGAGTCCATGTGCAGTCTCAGTCATTCTAGTCCCTACGAAAGATGGAACTTGGAGGATGTGCACAGATTGTAGAGCTATCAATAACATCATGGTAAAGTATAGACATCCCATTCCTAGGTTAGATGACTTGTTGGATGAATTGTATGGTGCTTGTATCTTCTCTAAAATTGACTTGAAAAGTGGATATCATCAAATTAGAATTAGAGAAGGAAATGAGTGGAAAATAGCTTTTAAAACTAAATATGGGTTGTATGAGTGGCTAGTTATGCCCTTTGGGTTAACTAATGCTCCAAGCACTTTTATGAGATTGATGAACCATGTTTTGAAAGAGTTTTTAGGCAAATGTGTAGTGGTGTATTTTGATGATATTCTGATATATAGCACTAATTTTGATTTGCATGTTGAACATTTGCGTGCTGTCATGAATGTGCTTAGAAAGGAAAAATTATTTGCTAATCTTGAAAAATGTACCTTTTGCACTGATCATGTTGTGTTCTTGGGATTTGTTGTGAGTTCTAAAGGGGTACAAGTTGATGAGGAAAAGATTAGAGCCATCCAAGAGTGGCCTACCCCTAAGAATGTGAGTGAAGTGAGAAGCTTTCATGGGTTAGCTAGTTTCTATAGGAGGTTTGTTAAAGATTTTAGTACTTTGGCTGCACCTCTTAATGAAATAATCAAAAAGCATGTTGGATTTAAATGGGGTGAAAAACAAGAAAAGGAATTTTCTGAACTTAAGCACAAACTATCTAATGCCCCCATCCTTGCGTTACCAAATTTTGCAAAATCTTTTGAAATTGAATGTGATGCATCTAATGTGGGTATTGGGGCTGTTTTGCTACAAGAAGGTCATCCAATTGCTTATTTTAGTGAGAAGTTGAATGAGGGTGCCCTAAACTATCCCACCTATGATAAGGAATTGTATGCCTTAGTGCGTGCTTTACAAACTTGGCAGCATTAACTTTTACCAAAAGAGTTTGTAATTCATAGTGATCACGAATCTTTGAAATACTTAAAGGGACAAGGTAAGTTAAACAAGAGGCATGTCAAATGGGTTGAGTTCTTAGAGCAATTTCCATATGTCATCAAGCATAAAAAGGGAAAAGGGAATGTAGTAGCTGATGCACTTTCTAGGAGATATGCATTACTTCTATGCTTGAAACTAAATTGTTTGGTCTTGAATCTTTGAAAGATATGTATGTGAATGATGTGGATTTTTCTGAAACTTTTGCTTCATGTGAAAAGTTTTCTAAAAATGGTTACTTTAGGCATAATGGATTCTTGTTTAAAGCAAATAAATTGTGTGTGCCTAAGTGTTCCATTAGAGAGTTGCTTGTGAGTGAATCACAGGGGGTTTGATGGGTCATTTTGGGGTTCAAAAGACTTTAGAAATTTTGCAAGAACATTTCTTTTGGCCTCATATGAAACGTGATGTGAATAAGTTTTGTGATCATTGCATTGTGTGTAAAAAGGCTAAATCTAAGGTTAAGCCTCATGGGTTGTATACTCCTTTACCTGTTCCTGAATATCCTTGGACTGACATTTCTATGGACTTTATTTTAGGGTTGCCTAAAACAAAGAATGGAAAGGATTTTGTGTTTGTTGTTGTTGATAGGTTTTCTAAAATGGCACATTTCATACCTTGCAAGAAGGTAGATGATGCTTGTCATGTGGCTGATTTGTTTTTCAAGGAAGTAGTAAGGCTACATGGGTTGCCGAGGAGCATTGTGAGTGATAGGGATTCAAAATTCCTTAGTCACTTTTGGAGGACCTTGTGGGGTAAGATTGGTACTAAATTATTGTTTTCTACTACTTGTCACCCACAAACTGATGGTCAAACTGAGGTAGTCAATAGGACTTTAGGCACATTGCTTAGGACTATTTTAAAGAAAAATCTTAAGACTTGGGAAGCATGTTTACCGCATGTTGAGTTTGCTTATAATAGGGTTATCCATACTAATTGTTCACCATTTGAGATTGTGTATGGATTTAATCCTTTGACTCCTCTTGATTTGTTGCGTTTGCCTAACATTTCTATGTTTAAGCATAAGGAAGCACAGGCTAAAGCAGAATATGTGAAGAAGTTGCATGAGCAAGTAAAAACTCAAATTGAAAAGAAGAATGAGAGCTATGCGAGGCAAGCTAACAAGGGTAGGAAAAAGGTGGTGTTCCAACCTGGTGATTGGGTTTTGGTACACATGAGAAAGGAAAGGTTTCCAGAACAAAGAAAGTCTAAACTTCAACCTAGAGGAGATGGGCCATTCCAAGTCTTAGAGAAGATCAATGATAATGCTTATAAGATTGATATACCAGGAGAGTATAATGTAAGTTCATCTTTTAATGTTGCTGACTTGACTCCTTTTGATGCAGGAGATGAATTCATAGATTTGAGGACAAATGCTGCCCAAGAAGGAGGGAATGATGTGGACATAAGGCCCAAGCCCATAACGAGGAGGATCAAGATCAAGATCCAATCCAAGACTTAGGTGGACCTATGACAAGAGGCATTGCAATACAAAGTGACCAATTTGCTAAAGGCCCAACTATTAAAAGATCCAAACATGGAGGAGTCTAGACCTATCACATGCATAAAATATTTGGAGAGCTAGGAGGCCCAACTAAAAGATTTAGTTTTTAATTATTATTATTATTTTATTTGCTACAGTGGGGATTTGAACCCAAGACCCAAAGCTTGTAATGCCTTCACTGAACCGTCTGGGTAACTTAACTTTGCTTGGGATATTAGGATTTTAATTTATCTTTATTTCCTACAATGAGACAAACTCATAAACTTAAGTTGTATTAAACATTTGGGAATTCAGAATGAACGTACGTAATATTCAGATTACTTTGTGAGTTGTTGCTCTGCTAGGGTTCTTCCTTGCATCACTTGATCTTATCAAGAATTATTCGATTCTTGTGGCGATCCTTCTTGGCTTATCAAATATTCTTATTTGTGGCACCTACGGTATCTTTTATGTTTTTTTGTTTTCTATTTCCAATCAAATCAATTCTTAAAACCTAACCCTAAATTGTTTCCCTTCTATTTGAGTGTCGTCAGAAGGAGAAGAAGTTATGGATGGAGTAGAAGTTAAGGATGGAGAAGAAATTTGGGATGTAGGTGAAGTTAAGGAAGGAGAAGAAGAAGTTAAGGATGGAGAAGAAGTTAGGTAAGGAGAAGAAGTTAAGGATAGGGAAATAGTTTGGGCTGGGGAAGAAGTGAAGGAAGGAGAAGAAGTTAGGGAAGAAGAAGAAGTTTTGGATGGAGAAGAAGTCAAGGATAAAGGAGAAATTTTTGATGGGCAAGAAGTTAAGGAGGGAAAGATGATTATTATGGATGGATGTAGACCCCAAATCTTGTCCGACCTCAAAATAAGAGCAGAAGACCTCCTATTCGAAGATGGACGAAGCCTAAAACGCCACTAGGAGAGACTATTAGGCCCCATGTTAGAGTAGGAAGGAGTTTTTGTATAAAAATAAGGATTTTCGCCTTCAGGAGTCGAGACCGCCGTCTCGCTTTTCGGGACTGCCGTCTCGCCATTGATGCAACGTCTCGCCACTTGCCAATGGCGAGACCCCCCTCCCGTTTGGCAAGAAGGCCTTTTCGTCACTTGAAAAGTCGATATCGTCGTCTCGCCAAACGAGACGCCCGTCTCGCCGCTTTTGCAAGTCGAGACCACCATTCTGAATGGCGAGACAGCCGTCTCGACCTGACAGACGCGAATCTCTATAAATAGTGAGCGCTCCCCCCCTTCATTTCACACAGTTCTTTCACTTTCCCTTCTACACTTTCTTCAAATTCTCCTCCTAGAGTCCCTCTGAAGCATTTCCGGAGTTTCTGAGTGTCTTAGAGAGCTTTTTATAGCGTTTCGAGAGTGATTTTCGGTGTTGTAAGAGCGAAGGGCTGCCAAAACGCACCCTATTCTCAAGAGAATTAATTAAAAAGCTTGCTTCAGAGGTTTCTTCACTCTCTCCCTCTCTTTTATTGTCTTTATATTATAATTAAATTATGTAATAGACATTAGGGCCATGTAGTCATTATTTTAATTCCGCAAATAAAAGGGTAAAAGCGTCTTTTCAAAAGTTTATCTATAAAATAACTGGCCTATCATAGGTGTCGTCGTCGTCCATTCCGACGTCTAGGGACATCTCAAACGTTTATGCGAGCGGTCGCGAAAAGATGGTTTAGACTCGCGTTTTATTTTAAAATGTGTTCATTGCTTCTGAGGTGCTCAACAACTGAACTATCCTCTAATAAAAGCAAGGTTTTCGCCAAAGGGTTCTTATGGAGTCGCCATCAATGTTTTGACCATAAACATTGGAAAAGGATAAAAAGGCATTGATTTTAAGAAAAACCAAACATGGCCATTATAACCAGAGTTAGGTAAGGGAGTTAGTTACGCGTGGGGAAGGTGTTAGCACCCCCATGACGCCCCTTTCGAGTTCCCTATGACGATTAATTCATAAAGTACAGATTAAGAGAAATTATGCTATTACCCTATTTTATTATACAATATTAAAAAATGGCATCTACATGATTCTATTTTCTATTGCATACATAAAGCAATAAAAGAGAAGAAAAGTGAAAAGAACCTCCGTAGCAAGCTTTTATTACAAATCTTCAACTGTGAGGATGCGTTTTGGCAATCCCCCGCACTACAAAGACTCTCCTCCCCGAATACAGGACCGACACTACCAAAATTTTAAGAAGAATCGAATGCCGGAAGAAACTTCCTTAACCGATTGTTACCTTATAGGCAATCAGAGAGATCATTCGAAAGAGGGAGAGAAGAGAGGAGTGAGGTGTGTGTAAAAGTTGCAAATGAGGCCCCTATTTATAGTTTTCTCGCTACCAGGACCTCGGGACGCCCGTCTGGGCTGGGATGGCTGTCTGGGACATTTGCGACGGCCGTCTGGGATTTGGGATGGCCGTCCCAAACCCCTGACAGAATTTTCTTACCTTTTTCTTATTTTTTGAGTCCAGAAAGCTCTCCTATCCTCACATGGAGCCTAGTGAACATTACTAGGGGCCCAATGATGCCTTGTTCATCTTCGAACGGAGGATCTCTGACCTTTATTGAGAGGCCGGGCAAGATTTGGGGTCTACAGCTGCCCCCCCTTCAACTGACTAACCGACTGTTGGCTCAATATGCCTACGAGATTGGTTGGCAGGTGAAGGAGTTAACCCTCTTGCTCGGTTGTCCTTCGGATGCTCCTTTGGTGGGGTAGCCGATCCTCTAGATGATGAATGCAGTCTGATGTTGTCTTCAGATGTTTCCTTGCTGTGGAGGCTAACCCATCGGGCGATATGTGTGAAACTTCAGGATGCTCCTTTGATGCAGTAGCTGACCCTTCAGCTGGTGAATGAAAATTTTCCCTTAGGATACTCCTTTGATGCGGTAGCTGACCCCTCAGGCAATGAATGTGAACCTCCAGGATGCTCCTTCGATGCGGTAGCTGATCCTGTGGTTGATTAGTATGAACCCGCATCTGGTTGTTGTAGCTTTGGGATGCTCTTTTTGATGCGGTAGCCAATCCCGTAGCTGACGAGTAGGAAACCTCAGGATGCTTCTTTAGTGAGGTAGCCGATTACTCAATTTGCAGGATGCTCCTTCGGTGAGGTAGTCGATCCTTAGGTTTGCAGGATGCTCCTTTGGAGAGGTAGCCGATCCTTTGGTTTGTAGGATGCTCCTTCGGTGAGGTAGCCGATCCTTCGATTTGTAGGATGCTCCTTTGGTGAGGAAGCCGATCCTTTGATTTGCAGGATGCTCCTTCGGTGAGGTAGCCGATCCTTCGATTTGTAGGATGCTCCTTCGGTGAGGTAGCTGATCCTTTGGATGATGAATAGTTTTGATAGGTACCAACCCCTATCTGGTTTGATGAGAATGAACCCTCATCTGGTCCGAACCTCCTTCTATAAGGCTCTTGTGAGTACAAACCCCCACCAGGTTCGAGTCCGTGCTTGCAAACTCTTGTGAGTACTTACTCTCACCAGGTACGAATCCGCATTTGCTAGATTCTTGTGAGTACTTACCCTCACCAGGTACGAGCCCGCATTTGCTATGCTCTTGTGGGTACCTACCCCCACCAGGTATAAATCTGCGTTTGCTAGATTCTAGTGAGTACTTACCCTCACCAGGTACGAGCCCGCATTTGCTAAGCTCTTGTGGGTACCTTCCCCCACTAGGTTTGAGTCCGCGTTTGCTAAACTCTTTGTGAGTACTTACCCTCACACGGTACGAGCTTGCGTTTGCTAAGCTCTTGTGGGTACTTACTCCCACTAGGTATGAATCCGCATTTGCTAGATTCTTGTGGGTACTTTCCCCCACTAGGTTCGAGTCCGCATTTGCTATAAACTTTGACGAGCCCCGTTCTGCAAGGCTCTTGTGGGTATCTATCCCCACCAGGTATGAGTCTGTGTTTGCTAAACTCTTTGTGAGTACTTACCCTTACACGGTACGAGCCTGCGTTTGCTAAGCTCTTGTGGGTACTTACCCCCACCAGGTATGAATCTGCATTTGCTAGATTCTTGTGGGTACTTTCCCCCACTAGGTTTGAGTCCGCGTTTGCTAAACTCGTTGTGAGTACTTACCCTCACACGGTACGAGTCCGCATTTGCTAAGCTCTTGTGGGTACTTACCCCCACCAGGTATGAACCCACATTTGCTAGATTCTTGTGGGTACTTTCCCCCACTAGGTTCGAGTCCGCATTTGTTATACTCTTGATGAGCCCCATTCTACAAAGCTCTTGTGGGTACCTACCCCCACCAGGTACGAATCCACTTTTGCTAGATTCTTGATGAGCCCCCTTCTGCAAGGCTTTCAGGATGCTCTTTTTTGATAGTCAATCATGTGGTTGATGAGTACAAACCCTCATCCGATTTTGGAGATGTGTTGGTAGCTTACTATTTCTTATCATGCGCCCATTCCATGGGGAGTGATTGATTTTGTTTTTGACTTTTCTGTTTTAGTCATCCGGTCTTGTCGGGGATTCTTTGTTTTTGGCTTTTCTGTTTAGCAATCTAGTCTTGCCACAGATTTTTTGTTTTTGGCTTTTTCACCATCCGACATGTTGATTGTCGGGGATTATTTGTTGGTTGCCTCTTATTTAAGCAGGAATCCACTGGGGATTTTTTATTTTTGCTTATTGTGCCTCTTATGTAGGCAGATGCTTCACTGATGAAGGCTTTATGCTTGGGCTTGTATTGCCTCTTGCATAGGTTGATTTCCCTTTTTAAGGATATTGGCTCTTTTGCTTGCCAGGTCTTGCCTATATATTTATAGGCAATTAACTTCTTGAGGATATGAATTTGTAATTTTGCCTTTGCTTGTCGCCGCCGTCAAAAAGAGGGCGGTCGAAGCGACGCGATGGTTTCGACTCTCTTGATTTTCGCGTTTTTTATTGGTATGGTTACAACGCCTTTAGGTTGTCCGATAATCGGGTTGAACCTAAGGGTGAGGTTTTCGAAAAGGTGTTCTTGGGTTGTCCGATAACCGGGCTAACCCAAGAACTAGTTTTGAAGGGTTCTGTGGAGTCGCCACCGATGTTTTTACCGGAAACATCAGAAAAGGAGTTAAAAGGCGTTGGTTTTCGAAAAACCAACTTTGGTCGTTAGAACCAGAGTTGGGTAAGGGAGTTAGTTACGTGTAAGGGAAGTGTTAGTTCCCTTACGACGCCCCTTTCGGGTTCCCTATGACAGGCCAACTTCTTAAAATATTTAAACTGACGAAAATACGCTTTTACCCTTTTATTTTGCGGATTTTAAATTATGACTACATGGCCCTAATGTTTATTGCGTAATTTAAATAAAGCGGTAAAAGATAGAGGGAGAAAATAGAAACCTCCGAGGCTAGCTTTCTATTAATTTCTTTGAAGATAGGGTGCTTTGCAGCAGCCCTTCACTCTTACAGCGCCGGAAATCTCTCAAAAACGCTCTAAAAAATCTCTAAAGACACTCAGAAACTCCGGAAATGCTTTGGAGGGGTTCTAGAGAGAGAAATAGATGATGTGACTAGAGAGAGAATGGAAGATGTGTGTGAAATGAGGGGAATGGCGCTCCTATTTATAGGGATTCGCGCCTGTCAGGTCGAGACGGCCGTCTCGCCTTGCAGAAATGGCGAGACGGCGATCCCGAATCCGAGACAGCGGTCTCGACCTTAAAAGGCGAAAATCCTTATTTTCATGCCAAAAATCCCTCCTATCCTAGTATGGGGCCTAATAGTCTCTCCTAGTGGCTTCTTAGGCTTCATCCATCTTCGAAAAGGAGGTCTTCCGACTTTATTATGAGGCGGGGCAAGATTTGGGGTCTACAGTTGCCCCCCCTTTACCTGATCAGTCGACTATTGGCCTGTTGTGCCAAGAGGATCGACTGGAAGGTAAAGGAGTTGACCCTCTTGCTCGGTTGTCCTTCAGATGTTCCGTCTTT